AGCTCTCATGCAACATACTGCCATAGCTACCTACAGAGTAATTTCTGCCAAAGTTTTTCGAAATAATGCAACACAGAAGACTGAAACAGAACTATCAAACCATGAATGTAATTCAGGCTTGCTAAAGGACTCCATAGCCAAACTAAAACTGGAGAATTCATATCAGTTTAAGTCCCTACTCATTCCATCTTCTCTCAATCTCCACTTAAAAGTTTCATGAGTAGCTACCAAGGACCTTAGATCATTTACCAGCTCAGCTCTGAGAAGCCTCTCTGTAGTTATACTGAAGATGAATATACACTCTTCTACATACAAAACAACGAAAGCTATGATTGTATGGTTTTGCCTAATAACTCACTTCAACATGTATCTCAAATACACTATAAGAATTTCCTTCCTTCTATTCAATTGTTCCCACGACACTGTGGAAGACTGCTCATCCCTTGTGCAAGGCTTTACAAGAACCTCAGCTATGTGCCTTTGGAATTACTAAAGGTTCAATGTTACTTCCTTGTGCATAAATAGGTTTTGCACAAGATGCAGTAGCAAGCCTTGCCTGCAGTTGCTCTTGCCCTCACTCATTCTTAATTTAAGAGATTCTAGTCAGTATATCCACACAAATTGCAGGAAAGGAAACAAGAAGACATGGCTACAAGCTCACCAGTTATCTCAAACAACTTCTCACTGTATACCTGCTGCTACAAAAAGACAGTTTGCATTGCTGCCCCAATACACTGGAATTCTTACCCTCATGCCTCCATCATCTCACACACACATTACCCATGAATGAAACTTACTTAGTGTGACTTTGCCCCATAAGGAATGATGATACCTCTATTTCCGTATCTCTCCATACATGCATATAAATGGACACATCCATAAACGTCACTTATCATTTAGCAGTTGTGTAGTAAACATCCATACCGAGAAGTACTGAACACTGAACATCCTGGAATAATTAGAAAATTTGTAGTTCTCACATTGAACCCATACCACAGTGGCCTGGTCACTGTTGCTTGTAGTATATTAGCTAGAACAGCTAGGTGAAAAGAGTCTTTCCCCAGCATCTCAAAAGCTGTGATGGAACAGGTCACCTTAATTTTTAAAAATATGTATTTCATAGACTCTACTTCTTCTGCATCTCCCAGCTGATTAAAAAAAGTATTTTCTCAATCCACACCATCATAGACAGTACAGAATGGAAAAATGACTCACTAAAATCATATCTTCCTGCCTTTATGCAGAATTAACACATGTATTCTATTCATGGCCATTCCCAGCACAAAGCAGAAATTTCCTCTCTCAGCTAGTGCTACCACTGGCCACAATGAACAGGTCTAAAAGCAGCAGTTACACAACTAACAGAGGGGACTTGCTGTTCATTAAGTCTTGTAACCGAGACTGTTTCTCCCATTACTTGCAGAAATCCACTGACAGAACTGCATTTGTATTTTTCAATGCTCAGTGAACTAGTGAAAGTGATACGTTCTTTTAGCTTTACTTTTCAATAAAAATGGACTGATGAATGTTCAGTACAGACAGAACATATACAGGACAGACTGCAAACAGTTATCTGCTATCCTGCAAAAGTTATAGCAATCTATATTTTGTTATGGTTACACATTATTTGATATGCTACTACCAAAAATTGTACCACTTGGTATTATATTTCAAGGAAATATACTGCAGACACTTCATCGTACCTTTATGACCAACGTGTATATGCTTTGGTAAGAAGAGAATGTTAGTATAATCTTCCAAAGAAAAAAAGAAACCAAAGAGTATAGAAGTTTGTAAACCTGTCCTTGCAGAACTCACCTGGTAAGGCCAGGCAAATCCAAATCGCGAAATACTGAATGCTCTGCAGTGCCGCACTAAATTACGGCATATTCTCCTCTGGAAAGTGAGATGTTTGCACTGTGTATTATTTACTCTGTGAGATATTTGCACATCTAATGCCAATCCAGCGCGCCTAACTTCAGAAGCCCAGATTCCTTATTCTTAGGAAGTTAAATGAAGGAATCTCCTGATTACGAATGAGAAAATTTCCAAAGCTTAATGGGCAAGTACTTCTGAATGGTATTTCAGGATAGGTATCTTAGACACTTAACACTGTGCATTATGAATATGGTATTCTTCTTCAGTAAATACCCAGTTTTAAAGAAGTCACATAAATATATACAAAGTTGTATTCGTCGCTGGTGATAATACCCTGCTATTCTCCCTGCTCCCCTTCACTAAGCAGTATATCACAGCTCTACAAGACAAGGATTTTATTGTAAAGTTCAACGTAATTATGATGCCCTTCCAATACAAGCCTAACCAAAACTTCCTGGGTATACACCACAAACCAGTGGACAGGTGAGCTTAACACAAAAAATATAGTGCTACACTCACCTGCAAGTAGTAAAGATCCCTAAGGTGTACAAGTGTGTAATTTCTGCTTTTATGTATATCATTTCTGCTTTTATATGTATCACTTGGAATCTGAGGCCAGATCTTCACAGAAAACTCAAAATTCTTAGCTGTCACTTCTTAATCCAGAACTGTCAATGTAGCAGCAACTCAAAATTCAATTTAATTTTTCTTAAGACAGGCCACAACCAACGTATTATCCACATCATTACATTTAGCTACCCTAGTAACTCATCCAGCATCTGAAAAATTACTGCAAGCCTTAAAGACAGACCTGTACTTCAGTACATTACTTGGTTAGAACCAGAGGATCCTTCTCAATCCAGATCTCAGTGCTATATATTTAGGTCCTTGATAGCACAATCCTCTAACACAACAATCAAATCACTGCTACTTCTCTCTGGAACACACTTCCCAAATTCAAATATAAATACTGATTAAAAAAAGGAATTATACATACAGAATGTGAATGGACAGAGCAGATGCACTTGTACCTTACAAATACTTTTGACTACTCTTATCAAGCTCTTACAGTTTATGATCTCCTTGGTATCAACATTTCTATTGGTTTTCTTTTCAGAGTACATGTGCTTGTTACTCATGATGAGCAACAGTGCACACCAGCCTGATAAAGAATCTGGGTGGGAATTTTGTACATTTAAACTCTCGTCATAATTATTTAGTAGCTTTAAAACGAACTAAAGCATGCAATCCCAATGAGTGGGAAAGGGTTTTTTTTCCCCTAATAATAATTTTTATTCTTAACCTGCAAATATGGGAGAGCGGATGTTATGTCGAAGGGCCTAAAGCAAATCATTGCTTTCAAGAAAACTTTGTGTACATTCACAAAACTGACACTAACAAAACCACTATTTTCAGTTATCTCTTCCATTTGTTACACTCTATCCCTGTACCAGAATTCACGTTTACTAAGGAAGTAAGACTCTGTATTACATTAAAACACAGACTTAAAGCCAGTAACACCCATTCAAAAGCAAGTTTGTGGCCAAAAAGTGGAAAGCTCTCCTCCTATTTAAGAAAAATGGGAAGCCACCTTGCCATTTGTTTACTCCTACAACAAAACCAGAACCACCTGGTTGAACAGGCAGAATAGGGAAAAAATACTTCCTGTTTTAAACTTCTAAAAATGCTCTAAGATACCTTTATTTATAATTTTTTATTTGGAACTTATAGCAGTGAATAACAGTGCAGCCCTAAAGAGCAGTGCAGCCTCCTAGCCAATTAACCGCCACCCCAAGCTCCTTCCCCCAGCCTCTTTTACATACCCACAGGAGCACAGCTGACAAATGCACTTCTTCATGGATGGAACCACATGCAAAGGCACAGGCGACATGAGCACAGACTGCATTACACATCCCAGCTGTTTTCCCTGGGGCAGTATGCCTAGGTTCTTCTGGTGAGCACCTTTCTCCTGCTTTCAAGCCTCTTCTCACCAGAGCATGAAAGCCTTGACAGTAACCTAGGGAACCTTTGTGAAGTCATCAGTGCCAAGCTCCAGAGCCCAGGTCTGCAACGAACACGGCTGGTCCTGTTCCACAGCCGATAGCTAAGGTTAAATCTTCCAATTCTCTAACTGTTTGACCATGATTAAGTCAACATGTAAATGGGCTATTAAAAAGCACTTCCCTCTCAGCTGTTAACATGTAAGCAGCCACATTATAGCTTCCACAACCAGCCACATAAAGCTTTTCTCACAAAGCTTGTCAAATTCTGCTTTATAAGGAAGATTCTTCTTAAAAGCTCTTTGCAACTGTTTTGGAAGAAAGGAGAAGAAAGATATACTAGAACAGAAAAACAACTTTACCTAGCAGTGCTTCAAAACTCTGTAAACACATCAAGTTTGGGGTCAGTACTTCTACAGCAAGAAGTTTTATCTGCTGGAACCTCAAATTTTACATTTCCATCCCACCACAAGCTGTATTACCAGTTATATCACAATGTCATAAATGTGTATCAACTATTTGAAAATAAAGTGGCATTAACACTACCACAAGTCGTAACTCCGACAACTTTAATACAAAACATTTCTTTAGTAATATGCCTAAAAAAAACAGGCACTTCAGTGGAAGTTTATAAAAAGAGTAGCCTCTACCAACAAGTAGAACTGATGGCAGCATCAACCAGCAGCGTCAATAAGAGGGAAGAATCCAATGAATGTAGAGCACCAAGTAAAATTTGGGTGGGATTTTGGGGCAGGGTGGGGGGGTAGGGTGGGGGTGAATTAGGGGCAAGATAGAAACTCCAAAGATTTCACTATTTCTCTATTTCTCATTTGAGATTTTGTTCTTCCATTTTCTAGGATTATGCCACTTACTCAACATTGCTATTTTTAAAAACATGGTAACAAGCAATACATAGTTCTGTATGTAAATGATGGGCTGTACATAGAATGCTACTATAGATGACATGAAACTGGAAGAACCAGAGCAGGCAACTGACAATCTTAAACAAGAACACTGGAATACACTTTCCACAAAAAATAGAAAGGAGTGCAACTTCTCCATCTAGGCATGGAGAAGAGGCTACACGTTCTAGTGAACTGTTATCCTTCTGCTTTGCAAATTCTATCCTGATGACGGTTCCTTCGTGCCCAGCTTCTCATTCAACTGCTCTTTATCTAGAAGAAAAAGTGTATTAGTTAGCACTCTACAATATTCAATTAATTGACAGAAATATTGCTTCAGAAATGTTTGGTGTATATTAAAAAAGTGTGTATGAAATGGTACTTCCAATTTTTCTAACTGTTTCAAGTATGGTAAAATCATTCGCTATCAGTACAGCCACAATTTTAAGTGAAAGCTAAATTGCAGCAAACCTTTGCATAAAGTATAAATCTTACTATTCCTTGAGACTAACTTGTGTTAAATTCCTAGTACTCCATTAAATACCATCTGTTTTGGTAACAGTCTTCTGTATAACCATTACTAACCCACTTTTATTAATGCATTTCAAAAATTGACCTCATATGTAACTGAACACTGCACGACTCGTTAAACAAAGTTTACACTTGTGTTGGAAATGGGCAGGCAAACTGGAATGCAGGATTTCACAATAAAAAGTATATTATATTAATATAAGTGTTACAGACTATGAACACCTGACTGAACTCACAGAAGTTCCAGCTATCTACAACACATTTCTAAATAGCCAAATTTGTTCAGAGTAAACACATTATTTCAAAATAACTTCGTGAATTCTCAAAATTTAACTTCAGATTACTCCATTGCTAATGCACCTTAAGGGTGGTTTTTCTTTTTTTAAATAGCTGCAGATTACCTCAGAAAGTCAGGTAAGTACCTTTCCTCCTGCTTGCAAGATGCTGATATAACTAAAAAAAAGCATGACTCCTTTGCTTTTATGTCTCATCTTCCATAAGGAATAAGCATACAAATCATCCATCTCCCTACACTCCCACAGTAGGGTTCAGCTATTCAGAGTAGGTTATTTATGGCAGTATACTCAGTGGCAGAATGGACAAAATCTTGTTGCTGAAGTACATGGACACTTACCCTTCAATTTATGTATTAAGTCTAATGGTATTTTGTGTACCATTGATGCCATTTCCTCCAGATCTTGATAGGATACAAGCAAAGATGACAGGGAATATTTACTTTCATTAAGAGATTTTGGTGATGGTGTCTTGGTAAATTCTTCATCCAAGCAGAAGTGCTCTGAAGGACTGCACAATTCATCTTTTTCTCTTTTTTCTGGTTCAAGACTTAGGTCTGATCTACAACTGATAGATCCACCTCCATTATGTGTTTGATGCAGCTCCTCTTCACTACTAGATGCAGTCTTTTTCAGTGCTTTATATGTGTTGAACAGGGACTGTAGATCTAGCTTTGATTTTTGAACAGCCCCCTCATCTAACAGGCTGTTCGGAAGATATGTGCTGTTTGTTATGTCAAAATCAGACTCTACGTTTGTAGATTCACCGGGATTTATGTTATCAAGTTCTTCTGGAAATGTCTCATCCAATATGCCCCAGCAGGCATCTTTAGGACTGATAGAACTTAACAATTCATTCCTGTCCAGCATCTCATCCACTAAGGAACCCTGAAAATGGTCTGAAGGTAGAACACTTGTTCTACTATTGTCTTCTGAAAAAACAGCTGAAGTATTCATGCTTTTCTTTACATACTGAAAAGTTTGTTCTTCTGGATCTTCTACAGAACTTTTGTTCAAAACAACACATTTTAATTCCTGTGCTTCAGTTTGCTCTCTCTTTTGTATTCCAGATGTTTCTGAATCTGGAGATTCAACGACATGACTCCTCCTCAACTGCTCTTGAGGTCTAAATTCTGTAGAACTTAATTGGGACTTCCTTTCTGACAAGGGAGGATCAAAGTCAGGTACAGGAGATACAGGGATAGAGCATGTGGATCTAGAGTCTGCTGCCTTCTGCATTATACATCCAGCCTCCATTGGAGCTTCTTCTATCTTTACTTCAGCTGGGGCCAGCTCTATGTCTAATGAGCCCTCAGTTTGAACAGCTTTTCTCCATGAGCTTCTAATTTCAGTAACTAAATGGAACAAACCAAGGTAAAATTTTAGTACCTTCATACTCTCAATCAAGCTGTTTTTCTTCTATCCCTTCACTAACATGAGCACTCCAAGAAGAAACACGTATATCTGCTTTATATTGTTTATGCTTAATTTTCTTCCTCAACACAAAGGGGATTCTACACAGAAAAAAAATGTTTTAAAACAAATTCACAGCACTTACATCTTAGGCCTACTATGTTGTGTTACAGAGTGAGCCATTAGGATAACTTGCAGCTTCACTGAAATACTTATCTTTTTCTTCTTGTGTGATATATACAGTGTCAATGAACTAATCACATTTCTAATCAATGAGTATTATAAAAACAGAGTTTTAGACTTACGCAGATTTTCTGGAGTTCGGGGAATTTGTTTCCTTGTTAAAAATGGGTTAAAAGCCAGCGAGCTAATGAGATCTTCTAATGCCATCCCTTCTCCTTCATGACTCTCGGGTGACTTAGACATCACTGTTCTCGCAACCTGTAGGATGTTAGAGAAGGGCAAATCCTGAGAAAGCAAAATTATAGCTTCTTTATTTCTGTCAGTTATGGCTCAAAAATAAATCCCATTCTCCAAATGATCTGAAGAGTTTGGAATCTCCTGACTCTTCTTCTGTCGTTTAGTACTTAGGTTCACAATGACCACAGTACCCTATACACACAAAATGAAGACAGAGGACTGAAATCAGAACTCAATTCTAAATTCCCTCATCATCTAGGAATCAATCTTTAAAATAAGAAAATGTGCTCAGGTAGTCTATATTTAAAACACTAGTCCAGAACTACATAAGCGTGAAGACTACAGCTATAGTTACAGAAGTAAAACATTTTAGCACATTAAATTATTTTTCTGTACCATTTCAGTGAAAGATGCAATTTACTTTCCAAATCAAGCTCTGGCACATTTTACAGTAACTCTTGTGAAGGAAATCCTCAGATAAATCTTAAATAAAATACCTAAAAGAGGAAATACCTCAATTCCTCTCTAAAATTCCCAAGCCCTTGTTAAATATTTAACCTGTGTAACTTCAGAAGTAAAAAGGACTGTTGAATTCTTAATATATGCAGTGGTTCATAGATTAAAGTACGCGAGGTGATAAAAATCATACCATGATTCTACTGAAAGTGCTATTCAATTCACCATCATTTTTAGTATGACAACTGCACAAGCTTCATGCTTTTAGGGTGTACTTAACTGGGCAATCATGACTACAACTCAGTGACATTAATTAATATCTAGCAGAAAAAAGTAACTTTTGACATACACGGCTTACAAGAGGCATTTTATGATATAATTAGTAATTTGTTCTCTGAACTTAATGACCATTTATTTAAAAAACAAACAAAAAAATTTAAAAATTAATTTTCCTAACCTCTTCTGCCAGTTCATCTCTGGCTTTCTTAAGAGGGTCTTCTTTTTTGACAGGAGACTCTGTCTGGATAACATCATCACCCGCATTCTCCCACACTTCTGAAATGGTGGACTCATTCTTCCCATTTTTTAAGACCTTTGAAGGCACAGGCGTTTCTTCTCCCTTGCAAGTTTCGGTATGAAAATTCTAGAGGAATACACAGGAATTATCAGAAGTTTTAAACTTGTGTCAGAAAATCAGTATGAAGAAACTGCTGTACAAATTCTGAACAGCAATGGCTTTAGTGTTTAGTCAACAAGAATATTTCATTCTTAAATTCTAACTACACACAAAATATTCTTACAATAGTATTTAAAGTAGGACATAAGTGGTGGCTGGGATAGGGTGTTGCATAGAACACGGATGACTCATCTGCAGCTACCTTGAACACACTACAGTAGACAATTGTGCAATAGACAACTGTACATCGAAGTTGCTTTTAGGCCACATTATAACCCTCAAGTTCATACACAAAGAAGCATCAAAGTCTGACCACTGCTCACACCAAAAAGACTGTTTCAGCAAGCAGGGAATCGGTGACACACTGTATGGAAGTCAAGTGCAAGTGCACCTACTTCCTACTGTCCTTTCCTAAAGCTTAATGAAGTATCTAACAGTTAGCTTTTACAGTTTTACAGGACTGACTCAGATGTGTAGAAATCATGTTTTAAAAAAAAAAAAACAAAACCAAACAAAAACCCACAAAAACAAAACAGCACAACCCTCCTACGCAAACACTAAGTCTAGGCTTCAATCAATATAAAAAGCAAATATTACAAGTTTAACTCCTCTGACAGGTAGGAAATTACTGAAGAATAACCTTTTCAATTAACACGTCTCTGTTTTCAGATGCTTTTGACAACTCCAAAGGCACTGAAGAGCTCCTTGAGGGGTGGGGGAGAGAAGCAGGGTGGGGGGAGGAAAAATATTTTAGAGACAAATTAAACAAGTGGCATGCAAGTCTTAGTAAAAGGCTATTACATATTGTGAGCCCCGTATCTGTCCGTCACGATTTCCCTCAATTCGTCCCGGTCATCAGAAGGCAATTTTACTATAGGGAGAACATGTGACAATTAGAGCAGGTTTAGCCCTAGTTGTGTATCAGGTCTCCCAAAATTAATAAATTATGCAACTTTTCCCTTGATTACCAAACAGAAAAAGAAGGTATGTTGTGATATATTTTGTCACTAAGTCTTCTATATTCTGCAATCAAAGATAACTAGAGTGTCTTGCGCAGACTTGATAATGGTCTTTTCCCTAGATAGGCTTCCTCTGAATTGCCTCTGGCATCCACAGGTCTGTTCCTGTATGAATTTGCTGATATTTAACAACGACCTGGCTACAAAAAACTTCAGTCTCATCACTTCTAATGACCATAGTGCTATAGCATATAGAAAGCATATAGCTCTAAAATGTAAGGTACAGTCCTCACTTGTTAGGAAGAATGTACCTTAACACATTAGTATTTGCTGTTATCTGTCCTTAGAATCAGAAGCAGGCAAAAATCCATGCTGTATGAAGTCACTGAGAGAAATCCAGGCTTCAACTGTTAACTACTTGGACAATCTTTGAGACATATGCAATTACACCTACTGATGTCTAAGAATAGGACAGCCTTCCTCTCCTCACTCCCTTTCTCTCACAATAGGCAACTTTCAGGTATCTGCAGGCATCATTTTATGAAATACAGTGTTATTCAAAAGGTCATTAAACCTTCCAGGACTAAGTAAATGACAAACATGCCAAAACTTTTTAGCATACCATTGCTTCATGTTCTGGAACTGTAGTAAGAGAAGCTGCAGAACAAAGTCATTTTATAAGATTTGTGACAAAACAAAGTCTTGTTGAGAAGGTTCAGCATAGTAATTCTGTTTGGGAGTCAGAGAGCTTTGTTTTGGATTGGTTTTAGGTTTTGGTTTGTTTTTCTTAAACACAAAAGAAGAACTCCAGTGAATGCTTGTTTTTTTATGCTCAGGCTATACTGAACATATATGCCCACCTCCACCCAGCCTGAGAAACAGAATTCTGTCTTCTCCACCCACCTCTTAAAGCATGAAAGAATACAGTTAAAAAGTGAGCTAAAAATCTTGCAACTTGTCTGCTGCACATCCTATTCAGCAGCAACCAGTTGATCAATTGGTCACCAGCTGGAGAAAGCGGCAGTTACTTTAGGACTAGCTTGCTAAATCAGGTGGATGTGACATGTAAGGAGTGGATTACTGAAATACTCCCCTAAGGATCAACTCCAACAGCTATATTTCTATTTTCTCCACTGCTTTTTTATCAATTTCTCATTAATATCGTACCTTCTTGGTGGTGATGTTGACTTATACACCATAGTTTCCAACTTCCCATCATCTTTCTCACAACACACTTCATGAATAGAGCCAAAAACATCTAGAAAAGCAAGTCAAGAGTTTTATTATTGCTTTTTTTTTTTTTTGGCTCGGGATTCCCAGGAGACACAAGTGACACAGACTACTTCTGTAGACTATTCACAGGATGGACTTTACAAACACTTCAAGAAAAATAAATCAATATATAAGCAGGACACTGGAATCAATCCTTTTGCTCAGGTACCACCTGCAGCCACAGATGCCATTAGCAGCCAGCACCTATTTGTGTTGTTCCTGAATGCATGTTCGAGAGGCATGATTCTATCTGCTGCCTTGCACATATCAATCATACATTCCATCTTTCTCCAAACTACAGTCCCAGCCACATTCCAAACTACAATCCCAGCCACATGTCATCATTACCCCCTCCTCTCCACATATGCATCAATTGTGGGGCACAACAATTTCACAAAGCAAAATTCCATCCATATTTTCCCCACCATCTTCACCTGCATTTATCAATAATATCTCTGTGGACATACTCATCCCTATGATCAATGCTGCCTCAGCCCAAGCAAGGCAAGGTACACTACAAGGAAATGTTTTGCATATTATCAGAGGCACACATACCTCAGCTCAGGACTCTCTAGAACAGTAAGTATCAATTTTGGCGCACCACTCGGATAAACAGCCAAAGTTTATCCTCAGTCGTTCTCTACTACCCTAAATTTCAGCTTCTGCAAACATACATATGATTTCCTTTTTTATTTACCTCAACACTACCTCCAAAATCCAACCTCACTTCAAGAACTTAGGTGAGGTTAATGTTTTGTTTAAAGCTTACCATGTTAACAGGCAGAAAGTTAGTTTCCTTAGTGGCTAGATTCTCAGACCAAGCATCGTAACTGCAGAGTAGAGAGAATGCCACAGACACCAGTTTGTCTCAAGCTTTCTGGTATCAACAGAAGCTCATAGCATTATTGCACAGTGCTTTAATCTTTGCAATTTTTCAGGCAAACAACCCTCCATTTGCAATTCTGTAGCCTTTCCTTTGCAGCTTCTAGCCTTGTACCTACATACCCTCAGACTGTTGGAGTAGTGCTTCCACCTTTGTAACCAAAAGATCTTCTCCCTATTGCTTTGCACTTTGAAATCCCAACACATCTGTGTCATTTTTCCTTAAAGGGACTACAAATGACATATGATTCAAGCCGTCTTCTCCCTCCTTTTCCACCCTTGCTTTGAGCTTCTTTTACTACCAGAGCGAATGTATTCTCTAGAACCCATGAATGTACATGGAAATCTGTCTTGACATCCTTCATGCAAGAACAACTAAATACCAAACAGCTCTGATGTCAAGGAATTGATGTCAAAATCTTTACAGTTGTAATTCGTAACAAAGATAAGGAACTGATGTAAATCATTTGGGTAGAATGGTTCTTGACAAGACAACGGCAAAGAAGGAACAGGCAGATCCGAAACCAGGGAACCAGAAAACTTTAGTGGGCTGTTTGCCCAAGAAGCTTGGCTAAATGTGTCCTTTAGGTGAACTTAGCTCATTATAATACTAAAAATCAGATCTCGTAACCCAAAGACCCCAACCCACTTAGAGACCCTTCTCCAAAGAGCATGCGTAGTATAAAAATGTTATAAAAAATATGTAAATGAGCTGATCAATCCTGGTCTTGGAGGCTCTGCTAGGGTCTTGTCCTAATGATAAGAATATGTATATAGACTAGCACAGAAGAACCCCAGGGGTGTTAGTTTTGTGGAAGATCACCTAGCAGCCAAATTTGCGCAACTTTGCAAATAAATCAGTACCTCATCTTCGTGTGTGATGGGCTTGTTGCACACCAGGTAACAAAACCATCTTTTTGGACAATTTTGGTGACCCAGACAGGACAGCAACGAGGCCTTGCCTGGATCAATTTGCTGCAGCTGGTGGGCCGTGGCAGACCAACTAGATTCCAGCATGCATTGATCTTTTCTGTTCAGGGACTCCATTGGAGTCCCTTCCCTGCTGGAGTAGTAAGCAACACCAAGGTGCAAAGCTTAAATTGAGATACTGAACTCTTATAGTGAAAGGTGGGAAGGGAATGATTTGCTTACAATTTGGTTGGATTGTTGTTTGGAATTTTGGGTTATTTAAGCTGCCATTTGGTGTTTGTTAATTTTGGGTTATTTAAGCCAGTATTTGGTGTTTGATAGAAATAATCATACGCATAGACACTTTACAAGTACAGTGTGTGAAGACTTAAAGACTTCCTTTTTGGGAAATGATACGGTGACCAGTCCCTCCTCTGAGCTTTCCTATTGTTCACCTTTAGGATGCATCCCCAAACATTGGGATAAATTTGGTGGGGATGCCCTTTCTAAAGAAAAAAGGAAACAATATTGCACACAATGATGGCCAATGTATAAATTGGGAGACGGAGAAAAAATGGCCTGAAATGGGAATCCTGAATTATAACACCATATTGGAACTAATGTTATTTTGTCACTGGATAGATAAGTAAGACGAAGTGCCTTACGCTGATTTATTCCTTGCTTTGCAAAATGATTATGATATTAGAAAATGTAAGTTAATGGAATCATCTGATTCGGGAGCTTCAATGCTGTTATCCAAAAAAGAGAAAGGTCAAAATACGAAAAGAGATTGTTCTGCTTGTAGTATTGGGCAAAATTATGAACATGTGCAATTGTTAGTAGCAGGCTCTATGAATAAAAGAAACAATGATGTTTCTAGTGCTGGTAGAGAAGGATTAGGGGAGCCCCAAAATTAGGGAATCAGAAGGGTTCAGCCCCAGTTCGGGGTGAACTGGAACACAACAATCAGCAGTTATTCAGGTCCCCACTGCAGCAAGCAGTGGGATCCGAAGGAATGCCTGTGTGGGTGCCTGTACCTTTTTCTACTTCTGATTTAACGAATTGGAAAGAATCTGCAGAGTTGTACAGAGAAAACCCTGATAAAGTACATAAAGTGTTTCAAATTATTGTTTTGAATCATGGTCCTCACTGGAGAAATATTCAAGTTTTGCTTAACACATTATTAGCACCAGAAGAGAAGAGGCTGGTCTTAGAAAAACCAAATGAAGAAAACAAAAAGGTAAATGCAAGAGATGGGTCAGAAAGATTTCTGCCTGAAACAGAACCTAAATGGGAGTCAAACACTAATGTGGGAGAACTAATGATCAGACAGTACCAACAATTATCATAGAATCACAGAATCATAG